GTCTTTGGTCTTAAAGTCAAAATTTTTTATTAACAAAGTAGTGGTTTGTGGTTTCATCTAACCTTATTCGTGATACCTGTAGGTTCTGGCTTGTGGGACGACAAACAACACATGGGAGAAAATCACAGAACATGCGAACACTTGTGTGTTAGACAACAGTGAGTGGTACATATATAACGCTGGAGAAAGTATTGTACTTCTGTTCAACTGCATCTATAAGCTTGTAGGAGCAATTCTTGATGGACAAAATTGCCAGTCCTTGGACAAACTAGATGTATTTCAGAAGGTGTGTATCCCACTTAGATATTATTTGGTTCTTGAATGTAAGAGTTCAGAAGCTGATAGTATTTCTTGTAACTGCCAGCGGATGGTGGAAGACTCTAAGCGTCGTGCTTACAAAAATTTGAATCATCTCATTGTCCTTGAGGACCCCTCTCTGATAGGCCAAGCAGTCCTAGCATCAAATCTGCAAATTGGCTTTTGTCATATTCCTAGTTCAAGCCAGCAGAATATGAACTACCGAGTTGAACAAGGTACGAACCATCAAATCACCTTTCTTCGGTCATAATCCGCTTAGTTTACCCTTTACTTTCCCTTTTCTATTGCCTTTCTATTTTATTTTAATTTGGGGGGGGGGGGGGGGGGGTTGGCAGAAGTATGTTTCAGATAAGCATTAAGTTGTATTCCTGAAAACATTGTCATTGTTTGGACTTTGGAGCCAATAATAAACCTCTTTCAATGTTTTAATCATCTAAAGAGAAAAGACTAAAATACCTGCATTTGCTTACCTGGCCCTCTTTGCGGTTATACTCAGGTCTTGAGATCCAGTGATGGAATGGCTTTTGAACCAAACTTCGTTGTCATTCCTCTTTCTAGCCTGAGAAATGATGGTATGACTAAGAAAATGTGTTCTGCAGGTCGAGTGGAGTTACAGAGCAACTCTGTCTGTGCCACAATTTCACCATCACTAGCTTACACAGTGCAACAAGATAGTGCAACTGCAGTGTCCACGCCTGAAAGCTTTCATGGAATGCAAGCATTTAATTCGACCTTGGCAAGCAGTTTCTTGATCAGTGATCCCTGCTGCAGTATCTACCCTGGTGACTACGACTGGGGTTCTAGTGGTTCAATTAAGTCACTAGGGATGACTGATTTTCTACCTCCCAACAACAATTATCAGCTTGGAACACCAGTGTTGCCAGGGAACGGATTGTTCGCGAGTTCAAGCATTCAGCCAGTTTCTCCTGATTTAGGCTTTCATATAGCAAGAGGTGGAAATCCCAGAGCTATATGGTGCACAATCCGTGCTGTCCTGAAATGGAAAACATTGGTTAAGCGAAAATGTGTGAAGATGGAAAGGCTTTTACATGTAGATATCTGAAGTTTGTTGGAGATTTTGACCAGCAAACTTCACCTCCTACTCTTTGAACCTTTCGGTATCTTTCGATATGAATTGCATATAGCATATAGCATCTAGAATAAGAGAGTAAATTGTACATATAGTAAGGGTTTTGTCAGGATGAAGGTGCATGTAGGATAAATTTGCTTGCAGAAACAATAGCAAGCATTCAAATGTTATGCTACCCCAAATGCCATCGTCCTTCGAGGAGTTTAGTGGTAAATAGTAGTCTTCTTGTGTGTTTCTGCATCAGATGTTATAACTGGTGCTTATGTAAGAAGTAATATGAGATTATAATAATTAGATGTTGTGTCAATATTTGAATTATTTGCCTGTGAAACATTTCTTCAGAAAGTTATTCATAGATTTCTAGTAATCAAAGAATGAAGCTCATGAAAGATGAAAACAATTTTCCTTCGTCTTCTTTGAATGTCTTAACAATCAAAGGGCGTATTCAGAGATTTATTTTATTAAGGCAGAATATCTTAAGACAACCCTGAAAGCGCCGATTATTAATTTTCTCCCCAAACTATGCCTAGTCCTAATTATCTCTACACTTGAATAAGTGAATTAAAATAAACCCTTGGTCTACCACATGGCGTAGCAAGTGGCCTCAGGCAGCCTTTGGCGCGGGAGGGTGTATAAAAAAGGAATTAAGGAATTTTTACATCCTATAGCAAAGGTTAACATCTTATTTATTTTAAATAAATAACATTTAAAAAAATTATATTCTATAGATACCTTTTAAGGTTTATAGCAAAATATTTAATTTTGGTTACCTCATAGCCCTAAGCCACTAAATACGTTAATCAGTTACACGATTTTCTTTCTCTCTCTACTTTGATACATCGCATTCTCTTCCCCCATCCCATTAAAATTTAAGCTCTCCTCCTCCTTCTAACGCACAACGACAACAAACCCTAACCCACACAAAACAAGCGCAAACCATCATTTTTTTCCGCTAAGTATTTAGAGATCATTGTAAGAGAGATATCGAGCAACACAACTCAAAGCTAAAAGGAAAGGATGGTAATTACAAATTGAATCTGCAAAAAAAGATAACAGGGACCGGGACAAACAAGCTCGCCTCCACCATGATGGAAGGGATGAAGAAGATCGGAGCCAAAGATCACATATTTTATGGTTGCCTGATTTAGGACTTTATCTCTTAGACTTGTGGAGGTATATATATTTGAAGCAGCCACTTCCTCCAGGTTTGAGCGTGCAAGATCATTGAAGATGGAAGGACTATTTGGCTACAAGGCGGAAATTAGGTTTGTTGTTGAGCAAAGACGACGGAGTTTGGGGCTGAGCAACTTGATTTTCTGTTAATATATTTCAATGTATTTTCATGTATTTCATTGTATTCATTGTCTTTTTTTTCATTGTAATTCAATGTATCTTGTTGTATTCCGTGTATTTCATTGTATTCATTGTCTTTTTTTTCATTGTAATTCAATGTATCTTGTTGTATTCCGTGTATTTCATTGTATTCACTATCTTTTTTTCATTGTATTTCAATGTATCCTGTTGTATTCTATGTATTCATATGTTTTTTCAATTAATATAATTTATGTATTCAGATGTATTATATAATTTCTCTGAAGATTGCTATATTTTGGGTTTTTTTTTCCAGTTGAGAATCTTTTTTATAACCGGAAATACAAATTTTATGTGCTATAATTGAGTTTGTTGAATTATATTAGTAGTCTATTATTTAATTGATACACTTTCCGTTTAAAAACAATGTAATCCCCTGTTTCACGCCGTGAATACAGTCGAATACAGTAATATGTTCAGCTGTAATCTCATGTTTCACGCCATGAATACAGGAGAATATACTCGAATACAACAACTGATTAGCTGGACTTCCCTGATTCACGCCTATTTTTGCTACTATATTCATGAATACAATAGCTTAAATACATCAAATACATCATATAACCACAGAAAAAGTATCTATAATCCATAATATAGCAAATGGTATATATAGATGTCTCATTAATACTAAAAAATAGTGCTAAAAAATAGTGAAAAAAGCCCCCTAATTAATATTTTCCTTTGTTTTTTCCATCTTTCCCATGGCTCTTTATAACTTCCTCCATTAAAGCACAACTAGTATTCTTTTCCCCTATAATTCTGTTTTTTCTTCTTTAATTGCAAAATGATTTAATTTAGCTATCTTTACAACTTGTTTGGATAGTCGTTACTTGTTGTATTATATCGTATTGTTGCTTTAAATACATTATCTATTTTGATTGTTACTTAAATTTAATTGTATCGTATCATCAAATTCATCGTTATGTAGCGATAAAAAGTGTCACTTTATGAAACGATCGATTTGGTGTAGTCACATGGTTACTTTTTTTTCTCATATTGCCTTTATTATTAAATAATCTTATTTTATCCTTTACCTTATATAATAATTCTACCTCGTAACTTACCTTTTCTTTTAATATAATATTGCAAGTTTATTCTTCGTATTGTTGGTGCATGACATTATAAAACTATGACAAACAATACAATCTATCCAAATATTGTATACTTTAAAATGATACATACGATACATATGAAATAATACATAACAACCATCCAAACAAGCTATTAAGTTCTTAGGTTTTAATCCGCTTTTATTTTATTTTATTTTATTTCTTTTTATTAAATTTTAGTATAGGTAATATAAAATCCTATTATTTAGCCTACATGGAGCACCGGATAAAATGTCCAACAAGGCCATGTGTATAAACTTAAACTAAGGTGTATGAGATCGAGGGTGTATTTAAATTTATTAATTCAACTGTAGGATGGTAATTAAGATTAGGTATGATTTAGGGAGGAAACTAATAATCAATATCAAGTTTAAGAGCGTTTTGAGATTTTTTGCCTTTAATTAATAGATTCAGAACAATGTGAAAGAAAACCCATCAACATTTTAGATTTGAGCTAACACAACTCATGATGTTCATGTTACCGGAAATGCAAGTATCTCTTTGGAAAACACTTAATCGCCCTCATTATTTATATCAAATTAATGTATTTAACCGTGACAACTATATATTAAAGGAGAATACATATCTCTTAAACATATAGTAGTAGATCGTAACGACAACTCTATATGTTGTGAATTTGTATTCTGCAAATATTGAATTATTTAGATTTAAAATTAAATGTAACCCCATTTGCTTATCTAGGATAAATGGTGGACAGAAAACTTTTGAGTTGGGGAGCCATATGCCTATTAAATGAACAAATAGTTTAACTATGAGTTTAGAATTAAAAAGCATAATTATAAATAAACAAAAAAAAAGAAACAATTATTTATTTTCTAAAAGGTAGATGGAACAAAAATAACCCCTATCTGAATTACATCATGAACTTCAGCCGAAAAAAAACATCATGTGACCATTCCCGCTCTATTTGAAGACAACCCGAAACCGTGAAGGTGACACATTACATCATGACCCGGGAACCGACAACGACTTTATCGGATCCAGTGGCACGTTTCGTAAATTCCACCATCCTTCAAGCCCAAATCCAAAACTCACCCAAAAAATATCTTCTCCGTTTGGAAAATCTGAAATTCTCGAACGTTCCTTCTGGCATCACAAATCTTTTCTCTTGCCAGATATTTTCATCTTCCCTTCCCCTCTTAAACACAAATCTTACAAATCATCTCTTCCACGTTACACATTACGTTTCTGCCTCCATCTTTTTCCTCTTCAATATCTTCCCCTTTTTCCCTCTTTAATTTCTCAAATTTTCGTAACCGTATTTACCTATGGTTTAACAGAATTTATAACTTGGATGCGTGTACCTGTCAGTTTAGGTACAATCTCTGTTTTGGCATCAATTTTTGGGAATTTGGCTCTGAGTTAGAGACAACCAAAAACGGGTATGGATCGAGAAGGAGGATCCGCCGGATCTTGTTACTATTCAGTGCTTGGGATTCGTAAGAATGCCTCCTGCTCCGACATTCGCTCAGCTTATCGGAAGCTAGCTCTGGTATGACGCAGAGTATTTATTTTCTTCAATTAACTCGGAATTGAATAAAAAGTTAAACCTTTGTACAAATAGACAGTGAGTACTATGTGTAAGTGCATATGCGAGTATAGTACTAACATGCGTGTGATTTTTGGGTGAAGAAATGGCACCCGGATAGGTGGGCAAAGAATCCGTCGGTAGCGGCAGAAGCGAAACGCCGGTTTCAGAAAATCCAAGAGGCTTACTCAGGTTACAATTGATTAATTTATTTACAATGATATAAAAGCAGTAGTGTCTTTTGATGGAATCCGTTGACGGACGTTCGTAGTTATTTTAGCTTGTTGAAAAATAAAATGTCCGTCTTTTGAAGGATATTGACGGTCGTTAGTTCTCCGTTATTCGTGTTGGCAGTTCTCTCCGATGAAGACAAGAGGTCAATGTACGACGCCGGTTTCCTTGATCTGCTTGAGGAAGACGAAGTACGTAATTTTGATCTTTTTTCCCAAGTAATAATCATTAAGAAAGTCGCAGGGTTTTTTTCCTCGCGTTTCTGATATTGCCACTACGAATTTTTACTAGTTCCACAATTGCGGCCTGGTGCTCATGATATCATATTCGAAATTGTATTATTTATTGAATAGTAATATTTTGTTTAAAATGATTATTTAGTGTATAATATTAGGATCCGAAATAGTATAAAATTAGGAGTTTATCTGCTGTGTCATGTCAATTACTATTCAGTTTGAGGATTTCTACCGCCCGCTGGCAAGCTTCTCAGAAGTTTTTACATGTACGTAATTAATTTGAAAAATCTGAGCAATAACTAGTGTTTCGTCAAGCTTTTAAAAAGTAATAACTAGTGTTTCGTCAAGCTTTTAAAAAGTAAGTATATTTTTTTTTAAAAAAAATATTTTGGGAGAAAAGTTACTTCTTTTGTTTTTCAAAAATTGATTCTTTTTTTTTTTAAACTCAAAAATACTTTTTTCTTTTAAAAGCTTGGACAAACAATTTTCACTTTTTAAGTTTTTTTTTTTTTAATTTACTTTTGGCCTGGTAGAGGCAGGGCCAAAAAGCTACATTATTCTACCCCTTTCTGTCAATTTTATGCAAGAGTAACACTTTTTCTCTTTTAGTCCGTCTTTAGACAGACATATTTCTGTGTTTGAATGCTATAATTTTATAATTTCCTTTATAGTTGGTGATATAAGTTGTTAGACCTCCATGTAATAAAAAATAAATTCAAAAAAATTACTCCTTTTGCCTCAATTTATGTGAAGATATTTTAATTTGAGACTCTGAACAAATTATTCTTTGATTGTAATCTTTTGTTATGATTTTTTAAATATTTGAATTATTAGGAATTGTGACTTACAATACTTTGTATGTTGTTCTCAAGTATATAAATTTTGTTTCAAAAAACTTAAAAGCTACTATGTCTAGATATGTTGTCAAGATTAAGAAGCTTGAATCTGAAAAAAATGAAAAGTGACACATTAATTGGAATAGAAGGAATAGTTTTTATTAGGAGAAAGAACAAAAGAAAGTGACAAATGGAACTCCTCTACGTCTTATTTAATTGTTATCATATCATATATATAATCTATGTAGTAAAAGTATTATAAATTTTATACTTTATGGTAAAAAGTTTTTTTATTCTCAAAATTTAATGTTTAGTTTAATGCCGTTACTAAAATGGGATGGAAGGAGGAGAAGTCCAAATAATGTAAAATTGCGGGACAACGAAGAAGCAAGTCATTTTACATTATACATTTTACCTTGTCATCCCGCCATTACTTTAGGGTGATCATAAATTTACCCCCTAAGATTTGGTGAAACTGTATGCAGGGAATGGGTGATTTCCTGCACGATTTGATGAACAGAATGGATCAAAATGTTGGGGCGGCGGTAAGAGATTAATGAGTTACTCATACATGCATCTCTTAAGCCTATGATGCCCTCTGAAATATTGTATTTATTCTGTTGTTTTCTTCCTTTGAATTAATTGGAAAGGAGGAGAGTATGGAGGATTTGCAGAGGACGTTCGTCGAAATGTTCGGTGGAGATTTAGCAAAGATGATGAATGATGAAAATCCAACGGTGAAGAAGAGGGCACGTGATTCAGGTTCCAACATAAGAGCTGCTCCAAAACGCAACACCACTAATGCCAATGCCAATGCCACCTCTTATCACTGTTAATTTTTATCAAACAATAGTGAAGTGGTCCCTACCCAGCCCCTCATTGAATTACCTGTACAACCCTTTTGGTGTTTGATTTAGTCTGGATTACACGAATCAGGAAGGAATTTAACTAGTTTATTGAGGGTAGATTTGGCAAGTCAAAAAGTTGTTTGGTGGCTCCCCAACTTTGAAAAAGTGTATCCAAATCAGGGGGCTGTTGAATTGCGTAATTAAAGCTTCTCTTTGGTTAAATATCTTTTGGTGCTTCCTCCAAAATATCGTCGCATCGCATTAAATTTGTGGTGAGTGGTTCCTTTACCTTGTGAGTTGTGATTAACCTTTTTAGGGGTCGTTTGGTTTTGTTGGAATATGATTTATACCGATATAAGTTATATTGGGATAAGTTATATTGGAATTGTTGTTTATTCATTGTTTGGTATGTTGTATTAAGAATGATAATTGCATAATTTCTAAAAAGGTATAAGTTATACTGATGTTAATTACTTCACCTTCTATAAGGTAAAGGTTATCTCAGTGTAAAAATTAATACCGAAATAATTTATATCTTATTTGTTAAACAAACAGAGTAGTAAGGTGATATTAAATTTTTATATTACCATTATACCTTCTTATGCCTCATACCAAACGATCTCTTGTAATTTCAAGTTTCATCTTAAATATGATTAGTAACATCCGATTGGGATGTGATCAACTTTCCAATATTATTCACTCAAAAAGGTTAAAAATCTGAATGAACTTTAGCAAATACCACGGTAAGAATTAAGATGCATTGCATAATCGAAAAGTGGAATACTTATTATAAACCATTAGCCGCGAATAATTCATTAACCCCTTTGTCATTCTTTAATGGAATTTTTACCTTCTATAGCAAAGATTAATCCCCTATTTATTTAAAATAAATATCATTTAAATAAATTACCTCCTATAGATACCTTTTATGTGTTATAGCAAATTTTCTAATTTTAGTTATATCCTACACTTAACCACTTAATACGCTATATTTTATTTTTCTCTCTCCATCCTTCGATTTTTCTCTCTCATACTTACCGCTTTTCATACAACTTCTAAACACACGTTCAAAATCACGCTCAAAATCAGAGAAACCTCCTCACCCACACCACTGCTTCATCCTTCCCCCAATCTCGGCGTAAACCCTAATCTCCTCTAGATTCTACTCATTTGTTTCTATATTTAGTGTGGTAAGTATTTAATTTATTTTTAATTTCGATGTTTTTGCTTTTTCACAACATCTCTACTCACCAAATTTTCTCTAATCAACAGTATCCAAACGTATTCTCACAATGTCTGAGAATACACACAGCAAGTTGATTACTAGAGGTATACCCACTAAAACTCTCAATTTCGATGGGCTCTCTTTCTCCTTGCAAATCACTCAAGGGGAATTGGATGCAGGTATAGCCAAAAATTTGGCATTAGATAAGAGAACAAAATCTCGATATGACAATTTCAAACAAACCCAAGTCGAGAAATCATTGAAGGAAACAAGACTTCCCAATGCGAAAAAGAGGAAAAAACATATTTCTCCAGCTTCATCTGTCAAGGGGAAGGAGGTTGAAGCAAGTAAAAGTTCGGATACACTTGAAGAAAAGGTATTTTATGATGTATTCTTCTGTATTTATATGTATACAACGGTTGAGTTCTCTGTTCAAAAAGGATATTCAATGTATTTTTGTACTTATAGAAATTAATAATACAGATTTGTCAGTTGTATTCTGATGTATTCTTATAGTTGTATTTATAAGGATTTTCATGTCAGTTGTATTTATATGTATTTATAGTTGTTGTGAGCACGTGATTTTTGTTTACGCGACAATCACTCCAAAAGAAATCAAAAAATAATAACAATTGGTCTTGATGTACGATTTTTGGAATTTACGTGGCATTTTTGGTAGTTATTTGTGGTCTTGTCCATTCTTATTTAGTCTTATCAAACAAAAATACAAAAAATATATGTCGTGTGTAATTAAACCATAATTCGGTTATTAAAAGGAAAATCATAAAATATGCAGCTGTTATTCTATTTGTCGTCCTTGAGTGATTTTATTTTTTATTGAATATTAGTGTGTGTGATAGTTGTTTGATATTTGTATAGTTTTGTTTTACAATTTATGTGGGATTTTTAGAAATTAAAGAAGAAAAAATAAAGGGATTTCGGATTGGGCCAGTTTGAACTAAATAAGAACAGGCCCAAACCAAAATAACCCAGTCCGAATCCCCTTTTGCCCGGTCCAATTAAGCTGGCCACACGACCGTCCAAACAACGTCGTTGTGTCACCTTCAATTTGGACCGTTAATCTCACTAGATTGACGGTCCAGATCACTCACCCATAACCCCATACCCGACCCGTTACCCGGACCAACCCGGACTCCAATACTAAACCAAACGACACTGTTTGATTAACCCTTGGATCTTGGCCGTTGATCTTGACTGATCCAATGGCCAGGATCAAAACACACCCCCCGTATATAACACCTCGTCTCTCACCCCGCACCCCCAAGCCAGACCC